TCTCTCTCTCTCTCTCTCTCTCTCTCTCTCTCTCTCGTAGTCTGCAGATACTGAGAAGTCAGGTAGCGAGAGGGTGAGGGAGAGATGGTGGACTTAGAAGAGGAAGAAGAAGAACTCTCGCGTCAGGATTCAGGCGGACAATCCAATCCTCTTTGCTAGGTGGAGCCCGCCCTAGATGAACACGACACAAAAAGTTGTGGCTCTCATGTGTGTGTCTCTTTTTTTTTTCTTTTTTTTTTATGTGTCTCTCTCATGTGGTTGAAGGTGGGCGGTTCGCCACCAAAAAACTTGGGAAAAGAATCTAGAAGATGCAACGCATTCAGTACTTCAGAATGACCCTTCATCGATCTCCTTTCTCTGGAGTATTTTGGAATTAATTTTCTATCTTAAATAGCATTTTATTTACTAGTTTTACTACTGCTTCTATTTAACTAGTCTATACTTCAGTTGATCATTGAAAAACAGAGCTCACAATGAGGCATCCATTTCGTGTGAGTTCCACCATCGGCAAATCACATGAGCAACAATGAGGTCATACTCGCACTAGCACTTTTTCAAATGTACTTGATGGCAATTACAGGCAGACCTGGATGCGGTCAGAGCTGAGTCAAAAAGTTCCTACCGTCTTCCCCCCCCCCGAACATACCGCACCCTGATAATGAATGTATAGGAGCGATGGTGCCAGTCCGGTACAGCCATAATGAGGGTGCTTTGTGTTCGGGGGAAGATGGTAGTGTGAATATGGGGCTCGTTAGACACTCCTCGGGCGAAGATGGCCCGAGGGATTTTCCTTTGGGTCACCCGAGAGAATTTCGGCCGTCGTTCCACTCTTCCTCGGAACGGTCTTCTGAAGAGGATTCCTAGGGAGGGCCCGCGGCCACTCACATAATATTATTGCCAACCGTGGGGTGGGGTGGGGTTGGTGGTCCATGGGCTCCTGTCCGTGTGGACGGGCGTGGTCCAGCTTCGAGTGGCGGGAAATTTCAAATCTTCACGGCGACCCATGAAAAAATAAAATGAAACGCACGGACGTCCTGGTTCAAAATTCAAAATTTGAATGACGCTGTTGGGGTTAGGGCGGTTCGTCGTGTGGCTGCGGCGGCTGGTGGAGGACGTCAGAAAGGAAGATCCTTCCACTGTGCGTTGGCGGGGTTGGCGTGAGTACTGCATGCGGCCAGGCAAGGAAGACGTCCCACCTGAAGACGCCATCGCCGTTGTCCTCGGGGCCCGTGTGTGCGGAGAGTAGCGGAGTGCGTCGTGTAGGCTGCTTCAGTGGCCTTGGTTGCGTGATCACCGTCCATCTCCAATGGTGCGGTTTGCTGGTCCAGTGGAACTTCGGCGGAGTCTATCGCCATCGTTGACGGTGATTTCTTCTGCATGTTTGGTGGCGATGGAGGGCGGCAGCAGTGACGAGCGTGGGAAGTTGACAACGGCTGAGAGGACGGCAGTGGCAGCGGCCGTTACCGCGGTCCTCTTCCGTTGTCAGGTGGAGAGTATGGTGGGGAGAATGAAAGTGCAGATCCACGCGCGGAGGAGGAAGGATCCATTTTATGGCGGTGGAAGGGTTGGACACCGCCGCCATCTGCGATGTCGTCTTTCAGGTGTGCTGCACCTTGGGTTGAGGAGTTCTTCCCAGAACGACGCCCAGGTGGCGGATGAAAAGAAGGACGAGGGGGCGTGAGAGGATCTGCGGCAATGCAACGACGCGGAGAAGGATTACTTTCGAGACAAGTTGCGCATGTCACCACGTGTCTTCGGTGAGATTGCAGAAGCTTTGTCGCCCTTCCTGCAGCGGCGTGTGACATTCTACAGGGACCCGTTGCAGCCTGATCAGATCGTCGCCTACGCGTTGTATCGTGGGTGTCGGGGGAGACGTACGAGAGCATCACGTGAAACTTAGGCATCGACAAAGCTTTAGGTTTGGTGGCGGTGCGGGACGTGACTGGGGCGTTGCTGACGGTCTACTGTGAGAAGATATCATGGCCTACGGGGATGCGCAAGTCGGTTGTCCTTCGTGCTTTCGCTGAAAAGGGTTTCCCCAACTGCCATGGGTGCATCGACTGCACTCGTGTCTACATTGACAAGCCGGCCAACGCCCCTTGTGAGGACTACTACGATTGGAAACAACGTTTCTCAATCATCGCGCAGGTTGACGTCGATCTGAACTTGCGTGTGCTGGACGTCTTCGTCGGATATCCAGGAAGTTGCCATGATGCCAGGATCATTCATTTGTCGAGTCTATGGGCGCGTGCCGAGGCCGGTGAACTTTTCATGGGACCGCCTGTGACGCTCCCCTTCGCCGTCCAGACGAACGGCTACCTGTTGGGCGACAATGGTTACCCACAGTCTGAATGGATAGTTGTTCCCTATGGCTGCACTACTCATCCCCCGTCAGAGATGTGGTTCGACAACAAAC